CCCGAATACCAATGGAAATCAAACCCTTCATCCATGCACCTCCGACCAACTGAGCAAACAGGCGGCGTAGACTCCAGGACGTAGCATTCGAGTGTACTGCCAAGTTCTGGTACCTCTAGCTTAACTGAGGCATTGCCTTGCACAGGCCCGTTGGCTATTATCAAAGATACAGGACGATTGGCAACTTCAATTGGAACAGACGGGAAATGGGCCCGATGGTCGTTCCTGCTGATCAAGTCTTCTTCACTGCCTGTGTCTGCCAAGAAATCCAAACCTGGAACAAGACCGGCGCATGCAGGACGAACCAGTTTCTCGCAGTGTTCGCAAACGAACCCTTCTTCCTCACACTCGTAATGACATGGTGCTTTCACGTCGTTGCACATACACTGGACGACCCTTTCGAATTGCTTCGCCCATAGGATAGCGCGCTTTGTATCCTGGGGATCCGGCCTCGGGGTTTCCCGGGCTGTAGGGTAGGTCTGCGAGTAAGCCCTAGGCAGATAGGAATGCTTCCTACCATTACCCTCAGGATCAATGGAGATCATGATCGGCTCATTCGAGATTCTCACTCGTGGCATTGGCCTCAAGAAGAAGATTGTCTTTGTATTGCTGCTGAGCAATGTAAGGCTGAACTGGCAGAACCCTTTCTACCTTGACCTCGTCCCTGAGCTTCTTGAAGTTGACAGGGCACGAGTTGTCGGGTACATACCAGCCCTTCCGATAGGTCCTATGGTGCCTCATCAACTTACCAGCAACAAAGTCGATCTCCCACGAGTCCTCCAAGCTGGGAGCCTGGCTCGTGGCCGCCGCTGCATACGCGCAGGCTGCTGGTTTCTCTGGCTTCCCCTGAGACTTAGCCCTGGGGCTTCTCCCTCTTCGCGGAGCGGGGGAGTTTGCACGGGGAGAGCTAGGCTTTCGCGCAGCTGCGGCCTCCGATTTCGGGGCTGGAGCGGTCGGCTTGTCGATGTCTTTGTGCTGAAAGCGGCAGGAGTCGCCCCTGGTGCACGTGCCTTCCTTCCAAAACTTGCACGTAGCGTTGATTTTCTTCTTGGTTTTGGGTGGTTTGGGAGAAAGGGAGCGCTTCTTACGAAGGAATGGACACTTGTCTCCTCGCTTGCACGTTCCCTTCAAGAAGTCGTAGCAGACACCTTTGGGGCTAGGCGATCTACTCTTTCGGGGAGTTGTTGAGCGGCTTCTTCCGGGTGACCTCGGCCTCGACCCTTTGGGGCTGTTGGATCTCCCTCGGCCACTTCTTGCTGAAGGGCTGGCGGACCTTGGGGTTGCCGGGGCACCATACTT